TAGAGAAAGCACTTGCAGTTGAGTGATGGGTAGGAAGATGAAAGAGCAATAGCTAACGAATGGTAGTATGAAATATATATGCCAGTGTTACAAGATTTTGCAGTTAGTAGAAACATAATTATTCTGTTGGTAGCAAGGTCAGGGTTATTAAAACAAAAGTTTTTGATAGCAAGGAACCTGGCATAAACCATTGAAAATAACAAGAAATACAGAACAATTGATAGAGCTAAGTTGTAGAGAGGAGGTAAGGAGTCTGAACCAAAAGTACTGCTTTAGCCTGAGAAAAGTCTTCTTGTCATTTGAGACTGAGGACAAGATGAGGTATAAATTAAGATGTTGGGGATGTATGACATTCACCTTATTTCCTGCTTCACTGAGATTGTTTTGAGATGGTCTAAGAATGAAGGGTTCAGGGCATGGAAATTAGTCTTTTTGTTTTGTTTTTGTTTTTGTGATGGAGTTTTCCCTCTTGTGGCCCACACTGGAGTGCAATGGTGTGATCTTGGCTCACAGCAGCCTCTGCCTCCTGGGTTCAAGAGATTCTCCTGCCCCAGTCTCCTGACTAGCTGGGATTACAGGCATGCACCACCATGCCCAGCTAATTTTGTAATTTTAGTAGAGACAGGGTTTCTCCATGTTGGTTAGGCTGGTCCTGAACTCCCAACGTCAGGTGATCTGCCCGCCTCAGCCTCCCAAAGTGCTGGGATTACAGGTGTGAGCCACCATGCCTGGCTGGAAATTAGTCTTTAAAAGTAGAAAAAGTTTAGAAACGCTGCTGGAGAAAATTTCCCAGGAGTTTAATAAAGGATAACAAAGATTCCTGAGCACTGTGAGTGTCCCCCTAAAGAGAAGCAATGGTAATTATTTGGGTTATCTGAGTACTAGGCAGTCAGAAAGTAAGCTCTCTGAAATGGAAGATACTGGTATGTTCCAGGGAGCAAGTGTGTGGATCCGGTGAATCCCTTTGACAGATAAAAACAATGTTACAAATCAAATTATACCTACGAGATATCCCATTTAATATATTGCTGAACAGATACTGGTGACAATATAATAATAGAAAGTATTTAAGCATCGGAAGGGTCGGTTGGACAGGATGAACCCTGGGGTTTCCTTTCAATAGTGTGGTTTATGTACAACAGATTTATGTACAGTCCTTTACACATCCTCAATTGTAACTAGTACTGCTAACTTAAAGATTAATTTGCCTCCTTTGCTGGTTTTTGGGAGGGAGAGGAGACTCAGAATGCTTTCGAGGCCTCAAATGACTAGAAAGCGTCTTTGGATTTTGTAGACCAAAAATAGTACATGTAGAAGTGTTAAAGTTTAACTTGAAAGCCATGAAAGACATTTGGCTGCCACCTAATGTCATATAGCTTTGATACAGTTTTCCAAGGATAGTGCCATAAAGAAGGTGCCCAATAAATATTAGATTATTATCACTCTTGGATTTTAATTTTTAAGTGTTTTGTGGATATTCCTTAGCCTTATGTAGCACTTAGCATTGTATCCTTCACTAGTAGGGACCTTTTTTTAATGATGTTTACATTTGGTCCATAGTATGAGAGACTCAGTATAGTGGGCTCTGTGGGGACTGATAAATCAATGTGATGTGTGAAGGTCTGAGATGAATTAAAAATGATTCTTAGGGAAATTTATGAATTTGCTAATAGCTGCAGCAGATAGGCAGAATAAACAAAGACTGGTTAGTCACCTTTTAAAAAAGCTGTCTGCCAGCTGAGTACACTGGCTCATGCCTGTAATCCTAGCACTTTGAGAGGCTGAGGCAGGTAGATGACCTGAGCTCAGGGTTTGTGATCAGCCTGGGCAACACGGTGAAACCTGTCTCTACTAAAATACAAAAAATTAGCCTGGGGTGGCAGCGGGTGCCTGTAATCCCAGCTACTCAGCAGGCCGAGGCAGGAGAATTGCTTGAACCCGGGAGGCGGAGGTTGCTGTGAGCCGAGATCATGCCACTGCACTCCAGTCTGGAAAACGAGCAAAATTCCCATCCTGGCCAACATGGTGAAACTCCGTCTCTACTAAAAATACAAAAATTAGCTGGGTGTTTGGCACGCGCCTGTAGTCCCAGCTACTTGGGTGGCTGAGGCGGAAGAATCGCTTGAACCTGGAAGGCGGAGGTTGTAGTCAACCGAGACTGCACCACTGTGCTCCAGCCTGGTGACAGAGCAAGACTCCGTCTCAAAAAAAAAAAAGCAAAATTCAGTCTCAAAAGAAAAAAGCTATCTGCCAATTTTTTTTTGACCAAGAAGGTTGGATTTAAGCTTAGGGAAGTTTATGTGGTACCTGTAGGTGAAAATAGTATACATTTGTAACTCTGTTTCACAATCTATAGTGTCAACATCACTTTTTCTTATATACTTTTTTGACATTGGAGTAATTTCTTGAAAAACGGGGAATGGTTACTTCTAAATGGTACTTGGGCTCGGCTTCAGATGACACAGTTTTAGACCTTTAGTAAGTAATTATAAAAGATCATGTAGGTTATTGCATCATAACTCACTCTCTTTTTTTTTTTTTTGAGACAGGGTCTCCCTCCGTCACCCAGGCTGGTGTGCAGTGGTGTGATCATAGCTCACTGTAGCCTTAAACTCCTGGGCTCAAGTGATCCTCCCATTTTAGTCTCCTGAGTACCTGGGACTACAGGCGTGCACTGTTATGCCTGGCTAATTTTTTTAAATTATTTTTTTTGTAGTGATGAGGTCTCCATGTGTTGCCTAGGCTGGTCTCCTGGCTCAAATAGTCCTCCTCCTCAGCCTCCCAAAGTGTTGGCATTACAGGCATGAGCCACCACGCCCTGTCTGTTTTTTAGAAACAGGGCCTCCATACATTGCCCAGGCTGGTCTCCTGGCTCAAATAGTCCTCCTCCTCAGCCTCCCAAAGTGTTGGCATTACAGGCATGAGCCACCATGCCTGCCTTGGTCTTACTTTTGCCGCCTAATTTATGTTTGCATTCCGGCCTCTAGACGTGTGCCATCCACTACTACCAGTAGCCACACTTGTCTATTTAAATGGGAATGAATTAAGATTATATAAAATTGGGGGTGGAGTGGTGGCTTATGCCTGTAATCCCAGCACTTTGGGAGGCTGAGGTGGGCGGATCACCTGAGGCCAGGAGTTCAAGACCAGGCTGGCCAACATGGCAAAACCCCGCCTCTAGTAAAAATACAAAAAATAAGTAAGATGTGGTGGTAGCCACCTGTAATCCCAGCTACTCGGGAGGCTGAGGCAGGAGAATCACTTGAAGCCAGGGGGCGGAGGCTGCAGTGAGCCGAGATTGCACCATTGCACTCCAGCCTGGGCAACAAGAGCAAAACTCCATCTAAAAAAAAAAAAAGATTAAATAAAATTAAAAATTTATTAGTCACATTAGCCACATTTTAAGCACTCCTTAGCTACATGTGACTGGTGGTACTGTGTTATGCACAGAACTATCTCCATCATTACAGAAAGTTCTATGGGACAGTGGTACTCTAGATTTTTAATTGCTGCTTGATACTAGGAAAGTAAATGTCAGAAGCTTGGAATAGATACTTAATAAAAACAAAAAACATGGAATTTATACTAAGCTACTCCCAACAGCCTCAACTTTCTCAAAGTTAAACATTATTTCGTAAGATTGGCTTTATATTTAGTTTTGGGTCTTTTCCTTTTTTTTGTTTCTATTTTGAGATGGAGTCTTGTTTTGTCACCCAGGCTGGAGTGCAGTGGCTCAATCTTGGCTCATTGCAACCTCTGCTCCCGGGTTCAAGTGATTCTCCTGCCTCAGCTTCCCGGGTAACTGGGACTACAGGCATGCGCCACCACACCCAGCTAATTTTTGTATTTTTAGTAGAGATGGGGTTTCACCATATTGGCCAGTGTGGTCTTGAACTCCTGACCTAGCGATCTGCCTGCCTTGGCCTCCCAAAGTGCTGGGATTACAGGCGTGAGCCGCTGCGCTTGGCCTCGGGTCTTTTCAAAGGTAATTTAAATAGTAACAGAACAGAATAAAGTAGTTTTACTAATAACTATTTCTGCCAGATTGTAATGGTTTTATTAAGGTATAATTGATACACAATAAATTTTGCTAATGTCAGGTATAAAATTTAATAAGTTTTGACATGTATACACCTCTGGAACCATCATTATTATTGATAATATAGCTCATTACCCTCAAAAGTTTGCTCATGCCCCTTTTTAATCCTCCTCATTCTTTTACACCCTCTCTCCCTATCTTGAGACAACCATCGATCTGCTTTGTATCATAATAGACTAGTTTGCCTGGTAAAAGTTTATATAGATGGGAGCCATGCAATATATACCTTTGTTTTGGGCTGGCTTTTTTCTCTCTGAATTATTTTGAGATTTACCCATTTTTTATGTACAAAGAGTTTATTACTTTCTTTGTATGGCAGTATCACAGTTTTTTATCCATTAGTCTGTTGATGACATTTGGGTGAATTCCAGTTTGGGTTATTACAAATAAATTGCTATGAGCATTTGCATACAAGTCCTTGTATTGACATATGTTTTTGTTTCTCTTGAGTAAATACCTAGATGTGGAATAGGCAATACCTAGTTATTGCCTTGGGTTATACAGTAGGTTGTATGTTTAACCTTTTAGGAAACTGCTGAATTGTTTTCCCAAGTGGTTGTACCATTTTTACATTCACCGTATTAGAGTATGAGTGTTCTGCTAGCTCCACATCCTTGCCAATTCTTGGTATAGCCAGGCTTTAAAATTTTATCTGAGTTATTTTAACAAGAAAAGATTGTCCTGGTGGATATGGTTCCCCCTTTTGCTATGTTTTATTTTTTAAATGCTGGAAAAATAATATTTTGTGTGTGAAAGAATTTTAGATAGTTTCCTACTGATCTATTTACCCTTTTTTAGTTTTTGACAGTCTTTGCTCACTAATACTGATTTGAAACCCAGTTTGTAGGAACAAATACCTTTTCTTCCTTTTCACTTACATATTTTTCTTTTTTTGTTCTAGCGGCCCCTTTGTTGCTTTATGCAAACAGACGGGACTTGCGATTGGTTGATGCTACAAATGGCAAAGAGAATGCTACGATTGTAGTTGGAGGCTTGGAGGATGCAGCTGCGGTGGACTTTGTGTTTGGTCATGGCTTGATATACTGGAGTGATGTCAGCGAAGAAGCCATTAAACAAACAGAATTTAACAAAACTGAGAGTGTACAGCGTGTTGTTGTTTCTGGAATATTGTCCCCCGATGGGCTGGCATGTGATTGGCTTGGAGAAAAATTGTACTGGACAGATTCCGAAACCAATCGGATTGAAGTTTCTAATTTAGATGGATCTTTACGAAAAGTTTTATTTTGGCAAGAGTTGGATCAACCCAGAGCTATTGCCTTAGATCCTACAAGTGGGTAAGTTTTTGTACAGTGTACAAAGATCATCGTACCTTCTTTTGGTTTTTCTCCACTGGCATAAACTACCCTGACCCCTATGAGAAAATGGGAATTTTAGATTCTTTGGGCTTCTTTGTTGAGTAGACTTGAATGTAGAAAGTTATGTTGTGTTGTTATTATTTTTTGACAGGGTCTTGTTCTGTCACCCAGGCTGGAGTGCAGTGATGCAATCATAACTCACTGCATTGTCAAGCTGCCAGGCTGAAGCAATCCTCACATTTCAGCCTGTCAAGTAGCTGGGACTTCAGGTGTGTACCACCATGCCCGACTAACTAAAACAGTTTTTTTGTTAGCCGGGCATGGTGGTGCACCCCTGTAATCCCAGCTACTTGGGTGGCTGAGGCACGAAAATCACTTGAACCTGGGAGGCAGAGGCTGCAGTGGCTGAGATTGCACCATTGCAATCCAGCCTGGGGAACAGAATGAGACTTTGTCTCAGAAACATTTTTTTTTTTGTAGAGATGTAATTTCAACATGTTGCCCAGGCTGGTCTTGAACTCCTGGGCTCAAACAATCAATCCTCCTGCCTTGACCTCCCAAAGTGCTGGGATTACAGAGCGAGCCACTGTGCACAGGGTGTTGTGTTCTTAGCATTTCTGTAAATTGTTTTGGGCTTCCAATTGCACTTATGGAATAGTCATATTTCTTGGGTTTTCTTCAGTATTTATTTTTTGTGATATCAGAAGATAATTTAAAGGGAGAGAAGAAATGAAAACAAGAGTAGTATTTGATAGCTCAAGATGAGATAGACTAATCTAGATCTTATAACTTACATACACAATGATATTGTGATACTAGTTTTTTTATGTTACACACTGAAGTGTTATTTAATATGCCAGTATTGAATGAAAAATAAAAGTTATTAAATAACTCATTTCTAGATAGCTAAACATGTATTTGCAATAAAGGTTTATTTTCTAATGAGAAAGAAAATTTAAGGCTCTGAATAAATCTCATTACAAAGCGTGAGCTGTATCCCCGCATGGCTCATTATACCTCATTTCTACTATTAGTATATACCGTTTTGTGATATTCCTTTTTTTTTTTTTTTTTTTTTTTTTGAGATGGAGTGTTGCTCGATTGCCCAGGCTAGAGTGCCCGCCTGCCCTCCCTCCTTTATTTCCTTCTTTCTTTTCTTTTCTTTTCTTTCTTTTTCTCTTTCTTTCTTTCTTTCCTTTCTTTCTTTTCTTCCTTTTCTTTCTTTCTTCTTTCTTTTGACAGAGTCTTGCTCTGTTGCCCGGGCTAGAGTGCAGTGGCACGATCTTGGCTCACTGCAACCTCCGCCTCCCAGGTTCAAGCGATTCTCCTGCCTCAGCCTCCCTAGTAGCTGGGATTACAGGTGCCCACCACCTGTAATTTTTGTATTTTTAATAGATACGGGGTTTTACTGTCTTGGCTAGGCTGGTCTCGAACTCCTGACCTTGTGACCAACCCACCTTGGCCCTTCAAAGTTCTGGGATTATAGGCGTGAGCCACCTGTGATACTTCTTTATTGAATAAACTGTCATGGCCAGTCTGTCATGGCTATGTATAGATAACTATCTGAACATGAACCTGAAACGACTTAACTAATATTTGGTTGAAATCAAAAGATAAATATCTTGTGGATAATTATTGTTTTCTTTAGCTTTCTGTTGTATTAGAATGCTTTAAAACTCATTTATAGAAAGGAATGAATTCTTTTTATGTAATAAATGAGAACTTGGGAAGAATGAAAGAAAGGTTTATATGTGCTTCTTTATCTTGATATCAGGCCTGATTTGGTTACAGAGGTTGAATGAGATGCCATGTTGTAGAAAAATGAGAAGACTGATTTGACTGTAAAGAATAACGTGGGCAGTGGTATAGTGAAATTTTAGAGGGAGATGTTTGGAAATACAAATATATATATTTTAGAGTGGAATTAAAAGATGTTTGTTGAAGCAAGATGGTGCTCTTAAAGCACCAGGAGATATTGTAGTGGCTCTGATGGTAGGAAAAAGGATTGGGTGTCCTGAGGAGGAGGTCTCAGATGTAACTGTAGTGATGAAAGAAATTGGTTGCTGAGAACTTTTTAGATATTTTTGAGAAATAGAGCTTGTGCTTTGCTAACAGAGTTTGTAAGGCTCAGGGGTTGTTGAAACATTTCTGAGGTTACTGCTTTGTAGAACACATAGGATTTTGGTGCTTTTAGTGGTCATTAGGGAAGAATGCTTTGGTGAAGAGATAAAGTTCTTTTTTCCCCTCTTTGTCTTCTAGACAAGTTCAATCTTACAAGGGTGATGATTGAAACTTAATCAGGTATCTATTAAACGGTTATTATGTTCAGAGTTCTGCATTTTGTACTCTGGTTGGAGGGAGAGGGGGTTTGGTTTATCTTTAAGGATTTACTGTTTAAGAACAGAAAACTTTGGAGAGACAACTTTTTCTTCTTCAAAGCATGTTTATTTGCATTATGTCACATGTATGTGAAGAGAGGAAGAATGTTAAAAGGGCCACAAGAGCTCTTATGAGCTTCATTACCAAATTTTGGAATCACATCTTGATCATTTCTATAAGAGATTAATGATTATATGATACTACATTATTAAAGGGAACTGAATGTGTGTATATAGTTCCTCTTGACTCTTCAGGATCTAACAGTTTTGTGAGTAAATTAATCATTTTCATTTTGTTCTCCGAATCTAATGAGCTTTACTTCTGGGTAGCAGATCTAATAAGTATCTTCTGAAGTAATTTTGCCATTCAATTAAAATATACTTTAGAGTTTCTGTGGCTTTAATTTATCCTTATTACTTCTCAATATTGAATGTGAGAATTCACCAAAGACTTAGCTGATAAAAAAGATTATTGGAAGAATCAGCAGTACTGTACCTTGAAGGTAGAAAGTAGTGTTATTTAGCTTCTGAAGGTGGTTCAGTAAAGAATAACTCTTTTTTTCTGTGGACTAAAGGCTTGGTCAAACACCCAGTGAAATGTTTTTTATTGTTTTTGATGTGTGTGGTTAATGTGGGAGGCAGGAGGAGGGGAGAGCAGGAGAGAGTGAGTGAGTAAATTCAACTCCCTCCCCCACCCTTAACAGTCCTTCTCTCAAAATTTCTTTTAATTTTTGAGAAGTCATTTGGTGTCATGGCTATTGTAAAACACTGCAATGGAAACAAATAGAATCTGGTCAAATGGTATATATATATTTGATATATGTACATATGATCAAGTATATTTAAAATTATATTTTAAACCCCAACACTGAAAAATACATTCATCAGATAATCTTTCAGAGTTAATGATCTTAGATTTTTACCTTGGATTGTGGTTTTAAGTTGAAAAGTAATTATAGGTAGAGTACATCATTTGTCAAACAGAAGAGATGATTTCCAGATTTGTTTTTTGGGGGAAATATGAAGTTTGAGTTCCAGACAAAGTACATGAAAACAGTGATGAGGAAACATGTAGACTTTTCAGAGTTCCAGGATCCTGGATTATGAGGTTCACAAGAGCTGACTGAGCTTTCTCACAGCAACTTACGTAAAAGGAAAGCTATTGAATGACTGGTATTGTTTGAGCCCTGGGAACTAGTGCAGACATCTGTGTGCTTTTGGATGTATGGACTTCTTTGTGTAATCAGTCCATTTAGCCTAGACTGAAGGAGGATTTTTATTCCTCTCTCTAAATTTGGCCTCTATTATATTAGCCTGAGATTTTTTTTTCTTATAATAATGACTAGCAGTGTACAATTCAGACTAAGAAATGGAGAGATATATGTATGAAATTGTTACAGAAATGAGCAACCATGGTTAAAGTAAACAGTAATTTTATGTTATAGTGAGTAGAGGTGATTCCTATGTGGCTGCTGCTTATGCTGGAACCCCTACATCTGATTCCACAGTTACCATGCTAAGCAACTGTACTAATCTTGGGGATGTTGAGGACCTGCCTCAGATTTAAGGGTGTTTTTTCTGTTCACTTAGGATCCTTTCATATTCCAAATCATTTTAGATATTTTTTAAAAAGTTAAACTTTAGTGATCCAATTTGAAGTGAATCTATACTAAACAGCTTTGAATGGTGTTTATATTTTAAAAACATGTATTTTTATTATTTATTTATTTTTGAGTTGGAGTCTCACTCTGTGACCCAGGCTGGAGTACAGTGGCATGGTCTTGACTTACTGCAACCCCCGCCTCCTGGGTTCAAACGATTCTCCTGCCTCAGCCTCTGGAGTGTAAATAGGACTACAGGCACCCACCACCACCCCGGCTAATTTTTGTAGTTTTAGTAGAGACGTAGAGTTTCACCACGTTGGCCAGGATGGTCTGGTTCTCTTGACCTTGTGATCTGCCAGCCTCAGCCTCCCAAAGTGCTGGGACTACAGGTGTGAGTCACCGCCCCGGCCCAACTTTTAAGTTTTAAAGTTAAAGGAAAATAATATTTTCTCTTACAGTCTTACTAGCTTTTCTTTTTAGAAGAGAGCATTTTCTAAGCAAATACAAATTTTAGCATGGTCTCCTATGAATTCCAAATGAGTATGGCTTTGATTACAAATGTTTATTTAAAACATAATTAAGATTTTTAGTTCTTAGTTTTTTTCAGCAAAGTTATCAAGATCATATTTTATAAAAAATACATTAACTGGAGCTTCTTTTATGTTATACCTAGCTCTATTGTTTACCAGCAAGTTACTTCATTGTCTTGGATGTCAGTTTTCTCATCTCTAAAATCATGGGTTTCTTTTAGTTTTGACATTATTTTAAGTTTAAAAACTGAAATATAGGCCAGGCCTGGTGGCTCACACCTGTAATCCCAGCACTTTGGGAGGCTGAGGCAGGTGGATCATGAGGTCAGGAGATTGAGACCATCCTGGTTAACATGGTGAAACCTCGTTTCTACCAAAAATGCAAAAAAAAAAAAAAAAAAAAATTAACTGTGTATGGTGGTTGGCACCTGTAATCCCAGTTACTCGGGAGACAGGCTTGAACCCGG